TCTTCGGAGGCTTTTCCACCCACAGCAGAACCAGGGAGCTTCTTCGCCATAACCGGCCACATGTCTCGGCGTGAGTACAGAGAGCTCCTCTGCTGTCTGGAGGACTGCCATTCACCTGCTGACGATGTCTACTGCACCATCTATGCCACACCCCCTGCCAAGATCCTCGGGCAGAAGATGCCATCTGTCCTCAGCCTGAGGCTCCATATAGACTCAGACTGCTTGCCCCTGTGAGGCAGGCACTCAGACTGAGGGAGGCGTGGCCAAGGAAGGAGTGGGATGCTGTGAGTGCATCCCTGCTCCTGGGGACCCTGCCTTCTCATGTCCTCCTCCAGCAGCACAGGTTTCAGTGCGAGAGACTGGGTGATTCCTACCCCTGACAGAGTCCAGCTGTCTTGCCCTTGGGTCATTGCTCTTTGTCACTTCTTGACTCTTACAGGACCTTTGCTCTGGGTCTGGGTTTCAGTCTACATTGTGCTCTGAGAACCCATTTTTATTGCGTGTTTCTTGAATTTGTTCTCCTGCCGATGGCTCGTTCTGGGGGTTGGGCTCCTCATGAGCTGTCAAAACCCAAAGGTTTTTCCCTGACTGGAACTCCTAGAGCTGACTATGCTGTTTTCACTGGGCCGATATTGATGGATAATTGGGAAAGCCAGGCTCTACACTCAAGCTTGATGCTAGAGAGACTGAGTCTAGGATGTAGCTGGGAACACTTGCAGTGTGCCCTGAGCCTCTATATGGGTGAAGAACCCAAACACCCCTATGTATGCACAGTCCTCCATTCTACAGATGGACATCCACTGGGTCCACAGGTAAGCAATGGGAGATGGAGATCCTGGTGTCTACAGATGGATACACTGAGTCCATAGGAGAGCAATGGTAGATGGCAGATCCTGGTGTTTGTACCACTGTGTTCCTGCTCCCTCAGGGATCTCCTTGTGTATGTATTGGGGGAGACATGTGACTAAACAATGACAATCATGGCTTAGCTGAAGGGATGGATAGGGGCCAGAACAGGACAGGGGAGCAACCTAAGTGACAGAAGCCTCGAATGCAGCAGGGGACAACACAGGTGCAGCTCACTCTGCTGAGAGGTTCAAGGTGAGCAATTCCTAACTTGACTGCGGCTCCAGAGAAGACAACTTGAGCTCCTTCTTCCCTGCTCTAAAGGAGCAACCACTGAAGGGCTGGGGCCCCTCCAGAACGTGCCCTCGCCTCTCCTGGCCTCGGGCTTCTGCAGCAAGCCAGCACCCTAGACCAGGGGTGTCTGAGGAGAAAAGAGATCTCTTAGTTTCATTTCCTGTTTCTATGACAAAGCAACTGACAATAGGAACATAAATGAGCCAAGGGTGAGCTGGCCACACAGCCGAGGGCACAGTCCACAGCTATGGGAAGTTCTGGCCGCAGGAGCCAAGGCAACGCTCTGTGTTGTAACCACAGTCAGTGAGCAGGCAGCAGTGACCATTGGGGCTCGGCCTCCTTTCTCTTTTTTTACTTACTTTTCGTTTACTTTTATTTCTGTGTGTGTACAGGAACCACATGCATACAAGTGCCCTCGGAGGCCCCAGCAGAGGGCATCAGAAACCTGGATCTGGAGTTACAGGCAGTTGTGAGCCTCTCCTGTCTCTCCTGCCTGGGTGCTGGGAACTGAGCTTGATCCCTCTGGAAAAGGAAGAGGCACCTTAGCCTCTAAGAACCCCGAGTCTCTGCTGCCCCTCTCTATAATGTTTTTTTAAATCATGCTTTAAAGTTTTTAGACGTTGTTTGTATGCTTTCTACAGCTTTTTGTAGAAATTTCAGACATGTATATGTGCGTTTCCCTTGGGAGAACAACGCAGAGCAGAGCTGCTTCTTGACCCTTTCCCCACCCACAACCTTCTCCAGCAGTCCCTGAATGTCAGCCTTAGCTTTTCCTACCTCTTGCCCAGGCCACAGGTGAAGATTGCACCTTCAGCCTTTCCTTTTACACCTCAGGGCTTGTTTCAAGTCACCTCCCAGGGGAGGCTTTGTGTTGTGTCAACAGCCACAGCAATAACAGCAAAATAAAAACAAACACCAGAGGCTGGGCATGGCGGCACACACCTTTGACCACAGCACCCAGAGACAGCTCTCTGTGAGTTCAAGGCCAGGCTGGTCTGTGACCAGTTCAGCCAGGACTACTTAGCCAGATTGGGTCTCAAAGCAACAGCAGCAACAACAACAGAGCTAAAGATGAATTTGGGGAGCAGCCTATGGGGAGAAGGGGTGGACTTACCCTGCCAGAAGCCAAGACTCACCACAAAGCTGTTCGTGGTTATGCTATGTTTGGAATGGAGAACTGACTGAGGCAGCTGAGCTGGGAAGAGAGAAACAGGCTGAGGCTCTTAGAGAGTGGGAGGTGTGGGATTTGATGGAGCGGACATTCCCAGTCAGGAGAAAGGCTGGCACAGCCATCATCTGCCCATATGGGGGAAATTAAAATTAGATTCCTATCTATGTCTGATACAAAAATACATTCCAGATGGAGCAGAAGCTAAATGTGAAGAGCTGAACAATAAAACCTTTGGAAGAAAATATAAAATGAAATGGGCAGGGTGGCACGCGTCTTTAATGCCAACACTCGGGAGGCAGAGGCAGGTGAACCTCTGTGAGCCTGAGGCCAGGCTGATCTACACAGATCTCCAGGACAGCCGGGGCTACATAGTGAGTACCTGTTTCAGGAAAATAAAAGAGTTTGCAAGATTTCTGCGTGGAAGGCGACTTTTTACAACTCATCAAAGGCACAAACCCAGGGTCAGATGCTTGACTTTATTAAAACTGAAAATGACGGCACCAAAGGAGATTCCGGAAACCCAGCTCCAGAAGGAGCTATGGACAAAGCAGGATCCACAGCGCACATAACTGGGAAGAGAGCACTTGTTCAAAATAATGGGCTGGCTTTCAAATTCATAAAAAGGAGGATGAGATGGTTTATTTGGGAAGCCTGGCCACCTGAATTTAGCCCCAGAACCTACCCAAAGGTGGACGGAGACAACTGACTCCTCAAAATTCTCCTCTCACCTCCACATGTGCCGTGCGTTCCCACCCCCACGCCTCCTCGCTAATAATTTTGGGCCACACAAGATGTTTCAGGAGATGAAGGTGCCTGCTGCTGAGCTGACAACTGAGTTTGATCCTAAGGACTCACCTAGAGGAAAGAGAGCAGTGCCTCACACAGGCCTTCCTCTGGCCTCCACTGGCCTCAACATGTGTGCTGTGGCATGTACATATATGTTCCTCCTTGTAGACGCGGAGATGTAGTGCGAGCCATGGCGCTGTCATGTCGTGGGCACGGAGCCTGGGCGCCGTTTGCTGTTCCACGGCAAACTTGACAGACAACTTGTGCGCATGCGTGCAAGCTCCCCCCAGCGTGGAGAGTCTTTCGATCTGGCCATCCGATCTGGCCAATCATAATTTAGCATGATCACTCCATTCTGGCCTGAGCCATTGGGTTGATGACACGTCAGGGCTTTTTCTGGCACCGTATATATTCTTCTGTTTCACAGGGACGGGGTCTTTTGCCTCTCTACAACCTCAAGTGTAAGTGCTCCAATAAAGTGTGTTCTGAGAAGAATCCTGTTGCGGTCGTCTCTTCTGCTGGCGGGAGCGGTGTGCCGCAAGTGGTGCCGAACCCGGGGACTTCCATCACGGCATCAGGCAGAGACCCCTGCAGAAGCGGGAGGATTCAGAACTCAGACACACGGAGCGGCGCCGGTGAGTTCTCCATGAGTATTACTTCTGATATGCTGAGTGGAGGAGTGAATCCGCTTTGGGAGCCCCTGTCATTTGGGGTATGGTTGTCTTGGTGCTTGTCTGCTGCCTTTTTTCCACGCTGTCATAGAACCGGTCAAGGGTGTATTTGCTGGGACCAGCAGTAAATAAAACTGAAAGTAAGCCCAGTGTAGATAGGCATTTCACTCGTGCATAAGGTGTGTGCAGATAAATGTACAGCATGGGAAATGTAGCGTCTGGACCATCAGGCATGGCGCCTTTCTCACACCCTATCCAGAGGCTGCTTAGGGACGGAGATCTAAAAATCTCAGAGGGTACCGTAAGGAAGTTTTTGGAGGATGTGGATCGAGTAGCACCATGGTTCGGAGGCTCGGGGGACATCAATCTCCCTTGCTGGAACAAGCTAGGTAGGGACCTTGAGATGGCTAAGGCGGAGCGGCCGGGAACTCACCCGTTCTGGAAACTGGTACGAGCCTGTTTGCGGAAGCAGTAAAAGAAGGCCGATAAGCGCTTTCAGCCTACCAGGATAGCAAGTCGGAGCTAGATACCAAGGAAGAAAAGACAGCAGAACGCAAAAAA